GAGGCTGTTTCCTCTTGTCCTATCGCTAAGTAGCCACAGCCCAAGCTGCAAACTGGAAAGCTGAGGCTTCAGGCACATAAAACCAGTCTCTGGAAAAAAACCACAGGGCCAGTTTCTTCCCTGAGTGCTGCAGAGTTGTTTCCCTGGCCCCTTTCATCTTTCAGTACAGATCCTGAGTGCAGCACCGTCCAGAAGAGACAGTTGCAACCCAGAGGAGTGCAAGCCTGTGAGCCTTTTAGGAGGTGCATCTCCCCAACCAGTTTAGAGCTTAGCTCTGGGCCCATTTCTAGAAGGACTTCAGTGCTTAAAACCAGGAGGGCTGTGTCTGGGACTCCTGAAGCATGGCAGCTACACCAGGCACCTGCAGGCTGCCAAGGGCAGAGGTCAGGACACTCTGACCTGAGCCTTAGGACTCCCCACTCAGCCTGCTGCTTCACACAAAGCCAGCTCTGACACCTTAACTCCTCCACGAGTTAAAAGGAGAGGCTGAAAGGGCTGGGACTGTTCAGCCTTCAGATGAGAAGGCTCGAGGGGAGCTGATGGGAGGGAGAAAAAACACAGTTCATTCTCAGTGGTATCCAGTGACAGAACAAAAGACAATGAGCACGACCTGAAACACAGGAAATTCCCTCAAAATACAAGAAAAAGCCTTTCTGCTCTGGGAGAGGTCAAATGCTGCAGCAGGCTGCCCAGAGAGGGTCTGGAGGCTCCATTCTTGAAGATACCAAAACCCAGCTGGTCCTGAGCAACCTGCTCCAGCTGAGCCTGCTCTGCCCAGCATTGGGCTGGATGGGTTCCCAGCCCCCTGATTCAGTGTGTCCTCCTGGGACCTGTGAGCTCTGCTCTGAGGACTACAGCCCTGAGTATCAGACACTCTAATATCAAGAACAACAGTGTGCAAGTCTCTTCATGAGTCCAGAGCACTGGACCCCATTTTAAAAGTAAAGAAATTGCACAATATCCTGAGAAACTTAGAAAAAACTAGTACCTCAGGAATCTTAATAGGTTTGCTGCACATTAAACAGCAAATACAACAATCTGCTATATTTATCAATTTTACAGTAACAATCCAGGCAGAAAGATATGGTAGTGAGGGGAATGTCTTCATTGGTACAGAACACAAGTCTGAAGCCAAACAAAAATGTAAGGCTATTTTGAAACAGTCAGAAAGGCCCTTTCTGCCTCCACACACCCCATCTGCACGGGCAGCACATTGGTGTTTACAGACAAATGTTTTCTCTGTGTTCCCACTTAGCTCATGTGAATGGAAACAAGCAGCAAAACCCAATAATATAAAACAGAGACATTTAGCATTTGATGCTCTCTAACCTCCTGAGCTGATCTCCTCTCTCCTACCCTCTCCTAGGCTTGTACCCCCCATTTAGCATTCACTCTGTGAAAGGCAACATCTTTCAGCCCCACGCTGACTTTTGAAAACATTTTTGTGAAACAAAATGAGTTTAGAAAAAGATGTTTGTTAAACTTTTCCACAACTAAATTGTTCTTTTGATAAACGCTGACAAAGTCAAGCACCACATTATTCTGAACACTGGTGGCACAAGGAGGAGGAGGCACCTTCTGTGGGCATAATGGGTGGGAAATGAAGAGATGTTACTCCTCAGCTCTGCTGTTGACCTTCAGCTACTTCCTCTGATTATCTCCCACTTCTAAACATAGGAAACCTCCTTCCCAGCAATGCAGACCTGCAAAGGGTGCCTTCTCCTCTCATTTCTGTTATCAACAAGACAGCAAGGTTATTTTCAAGATTAGCTCTCTTGCTTTTAGACACATAACAAAAAAGTTATTCTCTATTTGTTTTCAATAGCTTTTTCACCTTTCCTCCAGAAACTGGGGCCACAGTAACTAATACTGCAACAGGATGCTTATCTAAGTATTCATCATGGTCCTCTTTGACAACTGATAAGTAGCAGATAGCAAACTATGATCCATGAAGCAAACATCTTAAACAGATACAAATGCTGCCTTCAAAAACTAGATAGGTCTTATCAGCACTAACAGCTGAGTCTCCTTCCAATAAAATGATCATTGAACTATCAAAGGCATGAGATCTTATTTATAAAGCCTTCCTTGATCCTGCATTTTCTGAAATCATGAAGATTTCTGAAAGCACAAGGAAAGAAGAGTGAATGGCTGTCAGGGTTTCAGGGTTCACTGGGATTCTACCACTGACTGCAAGCAGTGGGTCATTTAAACCCTATTACATCAGTACCAAAAGAGCTACTAAGAGACTTAGCTATGTCCATTTTTGGACTTCTCTAAATAAAAAACAGAAGGGAAGATGATGCAGAAGAGAAACACCAACTCTTCTGGTTCCACAGGCATTCCACTCACCTCTTCTGTATCAAAAGGAACATTTACACTATCACCCCCCCATCAAGTCATTACAGAACTATTAAGTGAACTCTGAATGTACTTCAGCTCCTTCCCTCAAGCAACTTAACAGCCAGAAACATGGAGAATGAGGAGAATGAAGCAGTAACCACATACACATTTGCTGGGGATACTGGCAAAGTCTGCCCACGTTTGGTGTAATCTGGTGCACACCAGGGAGGACAGACATGCCTTCACTGACCTGCTTGTTGATGACAGTGAGAAGGCAGGAGAGGCTGATCTCTGGCCTTCCTCCAGGGAAGGAGGTTCACTTCTGCCATCAGGAGTTTCTGTCTGGAGCACCTGGGCTTCTCCAGGGCCAGCAGCTGTGTCATGCTCTTCCCTGCCTTCTACCAGAAGAAAGGCAGAGATTAGCAAGGATGACAAAGCAAAACACTACTGCCTGAATTTTGCAGGCTGGAGATAGATTTTAAGAAAAAACTAAGTAATAAACATTTAAATACCCACACCTCATTCCCACTTACTTGCTTCCCAAAACTCTGGCAGTTTTTAAGGTTTCATTTCTCTTCCTGCAGAGTAAAAAAGAAAACACTCCCCACCTTCTGAGAACCAGAGACTGAAACAGAAACGTTTCCTCCTTACAGGTTTCAAGCACAAGCAAGAGAGAAATAAAGGGTAAGGATATTTGTCGTGTGTCATGAGATGTTCATGTCAGAAATTAGCAAACACTCCCCTGCTTCTTGCTACCAATTCTCTTCATCCACTGCACGAGACTGCTTGAGAGCTTTGGAGCTGTACAGACTGAGGTAGCAGCCTTGTTTTCAATAGCAGAACCATTACAGTTTGTCTCCTTACACATCTAAGAAAGATTATGTCAATCTAGAGAAGTGATTTTTTCCTTTTTTTAATAGGAAAAATAATTTCTAGACAGCACAGAGAAATTGTAAAAACCATTCCATTATTTTTGTGTCAAATTGACAATTTTAAATCTAATTTGCAACCTATAAAAAGGTGAAGGGTTCTCTGAAAAGATACCTCCAAAGAGAACACAAGTATAGACTAGAAAGTATGTTACATACAGATAAACCACTCTTATGCCATACCCACAAATATTTTAAAATTAGTTATTTAACTAGAAAGTGGCACAGGGCATTAAAGCCACAGAGTCTCATTAACAATCCTCAGTGTGGCCATTCACAGAAGTGCCCTGTCCCCCTCAGGAACCCAGCCACCTTCCTGCTCAGACCACTGTGATGTTTCTATCCTTGCAGAAATCATTTTGACAGAAATGGCCAAACACAACTGTAATGAGAGTGTGGAGGAGGTAGAGAGCCTTTCACTTCAGCTACAGCTTGCCCTTTCACTTCTGCTAAAACACATAATTCAATATCAGGAGCGTGTGTGTGTCTGTTGAGGACAACCAGCAGATTGTGGTGAGTCAGTTGGCCAGCTAATGAAACATCACTCTGAAATTAAGAGAGTAAAAATAGCAGAGGCCTTGTGCAATAATGCAACCCATAAGAGATGGATCACGAATATTTATCGCATTCTTATTAGAGCTTCCCAAGACAAAGCAAAAGCCTATGGTTAAATGTTATAAAACAAAGACAGGAAATCAAACACTTTATGTTTAAATATGGAAATTCAAAGAGATTTTCAGAGATATCTAAAGAGATTTTCAAAGAAATCTAAAGAGATTTCATAGAGTTTTAAGTTACGCCAACCAACACCACAGGAGAAGACAACTGGAGATATGAAGGGATTAAAAAACAAACAAACAAAACACACACACACCCCCTCCAAAATCAAACCAACCAACCAAATGTATGTTTTAGTTCTGTACAGTTCTACCACTTCCATGAGAAACCAAATAAAGTGGGTAAGGAATGCACACAAAGCCTTTGCTCTTCTCAGCAGCTGTGCTTTCAAATGCCAAGTCATGGAAGCACTGCTGGTTTTCTTCCTTTCACTATTATAACTCCCAGTTTAATTAAAAGGTAATTGCTGTTAATAAGGAACACTGAGGAAACAGCCTTGAAGCATCTGTTCCTTCACCCATAAATCAAGTTTTTGTTTTGATTTATTTTTTAAATGGTTTACAAACAGTTGACCAGATGCAGACCTTTGGCACATAACTAGAAACTGAAATTTCAAAGATTACTGAAAGCTCAGTGCCCAAAAAGCCCAATGAAAACTGTGCAGGTTTGCCAGAACTGTATGAGGTGGTATCATGTACTTAATTCAACATGATACAGGGTGATACACCCAATAAAAGTTATTTTCTACCTGAGCACTCTTTTGGAAAAACTAAAGGGCTTTACTTCAGCTTCTCAAAGTCTGCTGCTCAGTGCACAGAGGAAGAGCTCACACAAGACAGAAACCCAGTAACTCATAGCAGTCGACCTCTCCACAGAGCATGGCTAGAAATCAGTGTTTCAGAGTCTGTGATCCCATTACCTAACAACACATTGCTTCTGTCTCTGCTGTAGGAGGGAACATCACTGTAAAGGATGTCAAACAAGATAAACTTTATCCTTGAGATTCCTTAATTTTCCCCCTGGGCATGGGAAGGATTATGTGCTGCATCGAGGTCTGCACGACACGATAAGGATAAAACTCATACTATTGTACTGGTGTTTTCTTTTATTTTCACTCTTGAGAGCTCTGCTAGGGGAGACAGTGCAGGAGACAGCCAAAGATTAGTTCAGCTCAACTCAAGAGAACACAGACTTGGATTTGGATGAGATGCTCTCCAGGGTCCCTTCCACCCTAAGCCACTCTATGATTTGTGAGAGCCAGTGTGAACTAAACTGCCATAATTTTTGATACAGACAACAGCACATCCAATTCTAGTCAATAGAATTCTCTCTAAAAATCAGAACCTTAACTAGATTATAACTCTACAAGTTCTATTAGGCTGAGGAATGCTCTTCTAAATTACAAGTTCAAAGACACATACTGTGCCAAGGCAACCTGTAACGTACAACGAATGAGGCAGAACCAGCCTGTAGGGAACAAGTGAAGAGCACACGTGGGGTTGTCTTTGATGCTGCAGGTAGTGAGGATTACAGACATGTGCTAGATGTTGTTCCTAACTCATAAAGTCCTGAGGAACTGCAGTTGTGCATTCCCACTTTTTACTCTGTTGAAGTACAGAAACAAATCGAGGCAAGATTTAAAAAAAAAGGCAACCTACTGTATAAACAGTCTAAAGGAAGCCAAAGTATCTTATTGCTTCAACCTCAGGACAAATAAATACTTGTTCCAGCCCACACACACCCCTCTGCAGTCCCCAGGTACTGACTCCCCATCACACCATCCACAGGGAGAGCTGGAGGCAGGGAGTGACACCCATCCTCCTCTGCCTCTCAGGGGCAGCCTGTCACACGCCCACGCTCAGCAAACAGATCTGAGCTGGAACCTAAGATCCCATTTCAACCAGCTAATTGAAATAAAGCACATCTATAAACAGTCCCACTAAAACAGTCATATTTATTATGAGTTGTCTGTATCAAACTAAAACCAATGGCAGTCAGTCTTTTTAGGGTCTGTTTGATTTTCCTGCTTTTCCCCCCCTAAAGGACTGTAGAAGAACAATGGCAGGAAAGAACATTTCTCTGGGGAACTCCCATTTATGAGCGTGGATCAAAGAGGGGGACTAAATTAAACAGCATTACTAACCTGTGGCCACTGGCAGTTCTTTGACAGTGACAACTTCTTTGTGCTCAGCACTTTCTGTTTTCCTCCTGCCGCTTTTCTTCCACCGATTATTTACTTGCTCCACCAACAACTGAAATTCACTTCTGTGTTTGTTTCCTGAAATGTAACACAGCGTTACCAATCACTGCCCCAGCACTCCTAAGGTATGCCACCAGAAGCAAAAAGGATGTGAACAGAAATAAACACAAAGTACTGAATTAGAAACATTTTTGTTACAGCGAGTGAAAGCCAACTCATCACTGCGGTACTTCCATAGCCTATTAACGACCCAAATCTGGGTCTGTGCTTTTAGGGAGTTACAGGCAGAACTTGCACAGGTGAAAAGTTCATTTTTGCACAGGAGAACTGTGTTTGCTGGTTCTTCTTTTCCCCCTGAACTTGTTAAGCATGGCAGTCAGCACTGTGACAGCACTGGCCCCTGCAGCCAGGGCACCAAGCCCGCCAGGGCCCCGGCAGCAGCTGGCCAGTGCTCCTGCTCGCATGGTTCAGTTCCAGGTCCTGCCTGGAGCACTCCTCAGGGAGGGGGAGAGTGGAATCTCACAGCTACTCTGTGAATCCTTGCAAAGCTGATTTGGGTTTTTCCCAAAAAACAACAAAAATAATTTACTGCTACAGTAAAGAAACATCAAAAGCTTCTGTGCAACGCTTATAACATTGTTTTGATTCCAGTCCTCTAAATCACAGTTAATTGCTCCTTGGCATACTCTTTGCACTTCCAATCACTTGCTATGTTCTAAGCAATCCTCTGGTATTTGCAGCAGGGTTGTTTTTTAGTTTAGATACTTTAGATTCTTTACTCCAAGGCTGGGAAAATACTGGGTGTCCTCAGACAGGCAGTACCTGACCCTGGCTGGGCTCGAAGGGAACCTGCTCCTGTCCCTGCAGAACACTCCCCCTCCCACCCAAACAGCAGACTGCACTGCAGCTCCCCACACCTCTGACAGCTTGAGTCACTCTGCACACCTGGCTTTATATTGATATGTTACAGTGAAGGCAGCAAACATCAACTGCCTTTATTGGAAGGACTTTTAACATCGTGTTGCTCTGAGAAACAGATTTGTCGTTTTGACACAAATCATAGAATCACAGACTGGTTTGGGTTGGAAGGGACATTTAAAGGTTATTTAGTCCAACCCCTGCAGGGACAGGGACATCCCCAGCTAGAGCAGGGTGCTCAGAGCCCCGGCCAACCTCCCCTGGGATGGTGCCAGGGATGGGGCAGCGACCACCTCTCTGGGCAGCCTGGGCCAGGGGCTCACCAACTTCAGAATCAATAATTTCTTCCTTCTATCTAGTCTAAATCTCTCCTCTTTCTAAAACCTTTAGCCTATTTGTTAGCCTATGGTAAAAGCATGCAAAATGTTGTGTGTGCCAGTGGCAGCAAGGCACAACATGCACCAAAACATTCTCAGTGCAGAGCAACTGCCTGTAGCAGCACGAGGAGGTGAAGCACACACACCTTCCTCTGGGCTGCACACAACCAGCCTGCGGAGGCTCCAGAGCTCCAGCACACCCCAAAACCCCATCTCTCAGCCCGAGTCTTGTGGGGAAGACTGGGATAAACCCCAGTACAGAGGATGGGCAGAGAAGCAAGAGAGAATCCTCAGGACAAACGAGAGGAGGATGTCCCATCCTTGGAAACACCCCAGGTGAGGTTGGCCAGGGCTCTGAGCAACCTGCTTTAGTTGAGGATGCCCCTACTCCCTGCAGGGGGAGTGGACTAAATGACCTTGAAAGGTCCCTTCCCACCCAAACCAGTCTGTGATTCTATGAAACCCCAGCACAGAGGATGGGCAGAAAAGTGACCAGGAAGCTGCAGGTGAAATGAGAGCAGAGGGCTGGCTATGGGCTAACTGGGCCACCTCCCACCCTGCCCGCTGGCACCACAGCCCTGGCCTGTCCTGGCACATGCAGCCAGCCCAGCCAGGCACCCCTGGCACCAAGGGTGCACACGCCAGCTCCACAGCCACCCCACGAGCACCCAGAGCAATGTCTACCTGGTGACAGCAAAGCAAATGTCCTGGGGAATCGGGGCGCTTGGAACCAGCTTTGAGCCCAGCTGAAACAAAGAACTCCCTCCTCAGTTTTCCATTTTGTCTGCTTTTGTCAAATCAGTCTCTGCACGACCTCCTTCTTCCTCTGCAGGCTGGGGAGAGGAAGGAACATCCCCAACCCTCCCCAGAGCTGTGGCACAGGCACTCCCCAGGCTTCCAAACCACGGGCGTGTGCACCAGCAGTTCCCCATCTCCCTCCCTTCCTGCCCAGCACACACTCCTGTCCCTCCTGATCCCAGCCCAGCAGCAGGGCCTGGCTTCCCCCACAGGCACCCTGACCTCCTCCTCCAGCAGAGCACATCTCTCCTCCCAGCCCTGCCTGGCCCCAGCACCCTCTGGGCACAGCTGGCACCCCAGGGAGCGGGCAGCCCCCGGGAGCAGCCGCCCGGATCCCGTCCTGCCACACCCATGGAGCAGGGATGCAGAGTGAGACCCACCGAGCCCTGCCCCACGGAGGGGACACACTGGCACCAACAACCTCTCCCCGGGCAGCTGAAAACACCACATAAGGTCAACAGCTCCCCTAAGAAGAAGAGCTCCTGCCCCAGATGCCTGTGCCTGGAGCGCTGCGCTCGCATTACGTAACTCCTCTGGCGCTTCAGCTTCTCCAGCATCACTATTTTTTGTTGTTTTGTTTTATGGTTTAACTACAAAGCTTTTCAAGCAAGGGAGAAATGTCCTGGCAAAGCAAGGCCCTGTTCAGAGGCACTGTAAATCACCTCTGTGCTGAAAGGCCATACCAGGCACACTTCACAGAACTACAGGCGTTTCGATAATAAACCAACCACAGATATCATTACCAATATTTAAAGCACAAGACATAAATCAGCAAGCCTCTGAATAACACTGTGAATTAAAAGATTTATATTCAGAGAAAGCAACAGAATGCATTACTTAAATGAATGTATTTCTTTTCCTGTAGATTTTTTAACTCTTTGAGTAGAGGCCTGGCCATAAGAGAAGCAGATGGAGGTGGACACCGGGCTGAGGGTGTCCCCGAGCTGCCCAGGAGCAGAAGGACAGTGAGTTCAGTTGTACCTTTCAGGCACCAGCAGCTGCTCCAGCAGAGCTTCCAGCTAACACACAAACCACCCTTGGGTTCACCCAGCCAAAATATTAACTGCTATTTCAAATACACTTCACATGCAGAAAAAGCAAAGCCCACACCAAGAGTGTAATGTGCAATTTGTCAGGAGTCTGGGAGACCAAGAGATAAGGAATAAAAAACCCTCTTTTATCACAGCTGCTTTATTTTGCTTTTCAACCCAGCTGTTACACCACTCCAGTGTGTTGGGTGCTCCATAGGGAGGCAGAACAAGAAGTATGTGGTTGGATGTTTTTATTCAGAACTTCTGCCAGAGTTAATTAATTCATTAATCCAGCTGGGAAATAGGGACCGAGGGTACAAGTGCTGGCAGTTAAAAAAAAACCTTCATCGTATAATAAAGCTTCTAAAAGTCCATCTGTGCTACAGTGAAAAACTGGCATCTGATAAAAATTCCTTTCATCTCTAACTGTCCTCTACTTTTAATGAATAGGGTTTTTTTCATACTTATTACTTCTTCTTTATTGCTTTTATGGGAGATAATTTGCTGACACTAGTTAACATTTACCTCTTTGGTCATCACTTTTATTAATTTTAAAAACATATATTCCATTAAATTTTTTTTCTATCTTCTCCTTTTCCCCCTTTTTTTTTTTTTAAGACTTTTAAATGTTCAATTAAGCTGCTTGAGGCTAATTTATTCACCTGGAGATCTTGCTGGGTTGAAGCCATATCCATTTAACAATAGAAATGCAACAAAATACCTGGGTTTGGGAAATTAAGACAGCACTTAGTATCTTCTTGCTCTACAACATGGACAAGACAAAAATACCCAATTTGGGATTCATACTTTTTCAGTTGTTTCACTTTTTGTTTGAGGTTTTTATTTTTCATTTTATTTCTAGAGATTTCTGTGTGGTGCAGGAGTAATTATTACCCAGTTACTTGGAATTAGAGAATGAGTAAGAGTAAAAGCCATAAACAGTTCATGTACTAAAAAAAACAACCAACAAAACCAACAGCATATATTCTCAGGAACAGCAACAAAAAGCAAGGGAAAAATTTACTAAAGATTTAGGTGCTTATTTAGTCTTCACAGTAACCCATCTAAAATCAACAAGTCTAAATCTAGCTGCATTATGGAATAATTTATATGCCTGAAGCAATGCAAGGAAAGAGAGGAAATATGACCATATTGCAGATTTAAATACACCCTTAAGTATAATCAGAACAAGTTGTCCCTTCATCATGTTACTCCTCTGTGGCTGAAAGCAGAGAAAGCTTAATTTTCATTGAATTTGTTCTAACATTTCTTGGCTAACTCTCATGTTTGCAGGTGGGAGCAGAGAGCAGGTGAAGTGAAATGAGTGGGAAACAACAGGGAAGAAATTCTGAACAATAAAACACCACTAGGGAGCTAAGTGCAAAGTAATGGTATTTAAGAGCTGATGTACAAGTGCACAAAGAAGGGAAAGGAAATTGTCTGGAACAGTCAGTTTACATCAACCATTTCTGTACTCAACTACTACCACAGGACACAAGTCTTGCCCTCTTTAGCTCTCACAAGCCTGTGTGCTTCTAACCCAGCCAGGGAGGTGGTTAGACAGCTCCATGGAGAGAGGAAACACCACTCTCAAGCTCAAGCAGAGACAGTTTCAAACAGTGTGCTTTCCCAGGGCCAAGGTAAGCAGGAATCATTTCTCTGTTGAAAAAACATCCAAAACCACACCAGCAAAGTTGTACCATTGGACTATAGCTCTTCCTGAAGCATTTATTCCAGTTATGCTTCCTGAAACAATTGCTGTTACTCTGTCAGGGCAGAAGCAGTTTCACAGCCAACACAGGCACTGGTCTTGTGCACAGAGGGGCCACAGTGCCAAAAATGAAACAAACTCTAACAACAAAGACAGAGGAAAAAAAAAAATCACCCAGTTTGCACTGAATCCCAGTTGCCTGCAGAGGATGGAGGGGAAGAGGCCAACCAAATGGGCAGAGTATTCTTTGTAAGAGGTCACAAAAAAATCTCAGGGCTGGACAGGAGTAAAAAGGGATGCAGGAAGGAGAGGAGAGAATGTGAGTGCTTGTGGAAGGGGACAAAGGGAGTGAGTGTGAGGAGCACTGTGAAACCCTGGATGGTTTGAGAATCACAGTACAAAATATGAAAAAAGGATTTGGGACTCAGCTAAAACATACTTTTTAGCAGTAAGGGCCACTTTGACAACTGTAGAAGTGTAAAAAGCACACAGTTGAGGAAACATGCAGCCATGAAGTGTTGTAGAAATCCATATTAAATCTATAGTACCATGGCTACTTTACTCGTCACTTCATGTCACTCTGCACTCCAGCTTTGACCTATTCCATGAGAGGATGGGGAAGCACAGCCATGAACAGCATAAATTGTGTGTATGTTTGAGTACAATGGAAAAGAAGGTGACTTGAAAAGCAAAATGAAATGAAACTTGCATATCACTTACGATAGTCAGCGTGGATCTCATCTATTTCTTCCTCTGTCTGATCCTTTGTGAAGGTCAAGCTCTACAGAAATCACACAAACGTTTATTTACAGAAACAAAAAGATTATAGAGTTGCATACTTTAAAGCTAGAGGCTTAAAACTGGAAGATGATCAGCTGTCTGTTTGCCCCCACCAGCTCATCCACAGGCAGTAATCTGTATTTAAAGTACCTACACATGCTGCCTTGCCTTGCTTTCACAAAGTCAACAGGACTAAGCCAAGTCACCCCATATAACACCCAGCATGTGTGGACCATAAAGTATTTCCTAACACTGTGCAAAAAACATGCTCCAAAAGTCACAGAAGTCTCATATGTCATGGGAAAAGCACAGGGACTGCTGCTGATACGGAAGCGGGGAATTTGCTAGCTAAATCCTGGAGAATTCTAGGAAGAATATTCCCCACAACGCTGCCATGGAGGGTCAAAATCCTCCACTATAACCAAGGGGAATATTTCTCAAGAGTTTTTATTGCAATAGAAAAACACACTCCTACTTAAACCATTTGGGTATAGAAACATCCACAGTACACCAAGAACTATCCCTGAAAAATGAGCAGTATGAGAAAATCATGTTGTTTCTAAGATGGTATATGCAAATTCCAACACCCAACCTGGGAATCTGGGAATTCTCATAATAAAGAGACAGGCACACACGTTCAGTGCTGACTCTGCAGTTTCTCTCAGCTATCCCCCTCCTTGAGAACAAAGATAACTGGCTTACATTTTCACTGGGCTTGTTAAACTCAAGCTGAACCCGAATCTTCTCATTCTTCTCCAGCTCTTTAACAATCTCTGAAACTGTTTGAAAATACAAGAAAGGGATCACTAAACCAGGAGCCAGTAAATAAAAAGACCTAACAGCATTGAATGAAACTACCACAGATTGAAATCACAGTGACAAACAGGCATTAGCTCTCCAGCAGTGAGAACTCTGAGCACGGGCAAGCCGCAGGACGTCAGCCACCCCCTGGCCCTGCCCTCACTGCCCCCCTTACACCCATGGGAATCTGGAGTCTTTGAATCTGCCTCCAGCACACAACAATGTTTCTGTGGCACACACAATTCCCAGTTTATAAAAGTATCTTTCAGCAGAAGACAAAATAATGACATTTCTGTTTATCTTTCACCTCCAAGGAAAGGCAAGACTGTCTGCAGGCTTATGTTCAAAACCCAAAGTCCAAAGATGAATTACAACCTACTCTAACGATTAAGTCAGACACCTCAAAAGCATAAACAGACATCACTGTGTTTGTTAACATTCTAACTAAAACTAGAGCTATCCAGGGCCCTGCACCATTTATTTTAACATTTACTTTGACAAATCTGTTGCTACACTTAATCATTTTCACAGAGCTACTAGGTAGCCATGGGTGATTATTAAAACAAACACTTGCACTAGACAGTAAAGTAGCCAGAGAATAAATCATCATTAAGCTGTGAAGGAATAAAACCTGTTCAAAACTGGTTTAAGCAAAATCCAGGAAACAGGGCACCCCTGTGTTCTCAGAGCTCAGCTGTGTGGGTTATAGTGACCTGAGGCTCACTGCTACCACTGAAAAATGCACGACTGCATCTTAAGCATGAGTTTAATAATTCACCTTTTACAAGGAGGTGCAGAGCCAGATCTGAGGAAGAGTTAACCTGCTCAGCCACGTTCTTAACATGGTTAAAGGAGCAAACTCAAAGAGCAAACAGCACTGGCTGTAAACTCACTTCTCTCACATACCTGCTCCTAGAACTCACACCAAAAGCTGGCAAGTGAAATCAGGATTTCAAAAAGTAGGAGCCTAAAGTTTAGCTGCCAAATTCATAATTAAAGTCCCCAGTGACTGACTTTTATTTTTCAAAAAGCACCATATCTGGTCGTTCTGCCTGTTCAATAAAGGAGTTAAACAACCAAAACATACTTTATTTTTGAAGTGCCACAGTGGAAGCTGTGGATATTCAGCATTTCTGACCATCTGATCACACAGAAAACCACACGTGCATGGAGTTAACTGCTGAGCTTTTAATATGCATTAGAAATAAATGGTCCCCTACACTGCCAAATTTGTTCAATGAGAACTAATGAATTAAGTGGGTTTTGATGTGTTCAGACTTGGCAGCCTTCTCAAAGGCCAAACACCTAAATTGATACAAACTCCAGCAAAGTATTAACACTTTTTGAATTCATTCTACCCTTACCTATCAACTCCAATAAAGAAATATAATTTTGAAATTAAATCAAATAAAAATATAAAAGTCTCAGTATAAAAGGAAGATAAATTCAGAAAAAAAGAAAAAAACAATCCAGTCACCTACTAAGAACCTCAGGTATTTCCAATTTTTTGACTAAAAGCCTCGGACTCTAATTTGGAGTCACTCATTAAAATACAAAGTCAGTAAAAACACAGAACATTTTTCAGAACAGGGTTAGTAAACTAGGAAGTATCAAAGAATTTCAACAAATTACATCCTTGCTGGATACTTCCAAAGTATTTCCCCCCATTTCTGGTTTTCATTAAACTTCCTTTTTGTTTTTTTTTATTAATCTTATTTATAAAAGATAAATTCTTCCAGCTTCAGTTTTCCCAAATATTCAAACCAGCCTTATTCCTACTCCAAGAACTCAGAGAAAGAGAAATACACCCCAAATAGTCTGTGATGGTAACAACTTTCCTAGAATTCCCAGCTCACCAGATTTGGGATGCAGAGCATCACACTGAGCATTGTACAGGTGCACGAAGTCCTGGTGCCGCCTGACGAGCTGCTGGCGGGTCCCTCGGGTGGACAGACCATGTTCCTTCAGCTTCCTCTTCAAGTCACGGTCAGACAGCAAGTTGTAAACAATTTTAGACATGGGCTTCCTTTTGTGACCAGAACTGCAAAAGGAAAAGGAAGCCAACTTGTAAAATGAATGCTCCAACAAAAATCAAAACAGCGGTTTACATTTTGAGAGGGTATTTCACCCACTCTGGGTAAGGAATGCCCCAAAGAATCATTCCAGTTGTGACAGATACAGCAGCAATTGCAGAGTGTATCACCAGTGGAACAGCTCTAGGAAGCCAGAACACTTTCTCTATCTACAAAGAAAGTTTCAAACACACAGAAAACAACAGGTCTGGCCTGACTCTTTTCAGGAAACGATGTGAATGCTACTCCTGTAACAACTACTGTGGCCCAGTTTTCTGTACCTACATCAGAAATGACACCAGCACCCAGTACTGATCACCTTTGTTAGGATTAGGATCTAGCCTCACATTCCCTCTGCATCCAAAAGGAAGTGTACTGAATTCAGACTGCTGAAACACAGGTTTCCCACCCAAGCACTGGCCGTGTCCTGAGTCAGCTGGTGATGTTTTAAAAGCATGAAAAGTGTAAGCCAAAACTTGCATTAGATTTTTCAGTTTTCTGGAAAAATGATTTCAGGAAAGATGGTCGTGTAGCTGAGAGCAAATCTGCAGTCCCAAACTAACAGAAGGGTAGTTCAGTAATACAGAAAGTGACACTGAAGAGAATTAATAGAGCTCTCAGATTAATAACACCTAACCCCAAAACTTATTCCTCCACACTGCCTGATGTCAGAACTCAACGTTCCTGGCACAGCAAGGGAAAACAGCTTAATCACAGGAAATTGCCATAGAAAATTTAAGTCCTATTGCAACTTTTGTCACCTAAAATTAGCAGAACAGTTTCCTAGTTTCCTTCTGCACCAGTTCGCTCAGTCTTCCCTCCACCTCTTAATGAAATACTCTCAAACTAGCCAACAATGGCACTGAAATCCATGCACTGCCTCCCTCATCTTCTTCAGCTTCAATAATTTCTTAGCTACAGAAGAACACCACTTAGTTACTTTTCCTCCTGCAGCAAAGTGCAGTTCAGCTGCATTGCTCTGAAATGCAGAGAAGCTAATAGCTTTGCACTGGGAAAGCAAGAGACTCAGCTGAAAACTGTATTCAACACTTTTATCACATTGAAAATAAATTCCAAAGTTTTAAAAAGAAAAAAAGAATGCTTAGGCAACAACAGATATAATTTACTCCCATACAGCCCCCTGTAGCATAGCTGGCAAAAAAAAAAGATGCTTTACCACAATATATTCTTAAGGAAAAGACTTTTGAGGTTTTGGGGGGAAATATAAAAATTCATTGAATCTCTCTGAAGTCCTGAAGATGTGTGTGTATTAGAATTCACCAGCAGCATGCCCTAGAAGAGTGATGACAGCTTTGTGAGCAGACACCTACAGGAAAACAGCTCATGAGAGTTTTGAACCCTAACGTTGGTGTTTTTCCCCATCCATGAGAAGTGCAGTGTTCTTCACACACACTCACCTGTGCTGCACCATCAGTTCTGCTGAAATACTGCTCAAGTGTTAACACAGCATGCCACGTGCTCCTGATTTCAGAATACAGAGAGCTAGAACTCCTCAGAGAAGCCCCAGAGACATGCTGCCACTGACACCCCAACAACACTGCCACAAATAAATGCATTGCCCAAAAGCCAGCATCTAACACAGCAGCCAGTCCCCAAGGGGAAGTATCTTGCATGATACTTTCTTAAGATCCAAGCATCTAGATAGAATAAGCAAAATTTAAAATTCTGTTAGGGACCAGGGCTTGACACCAAAGAAATATCTGGCTTCTATTTCTATTCATTAAGAGCTGAGAAAACATTAAAAGCATCCCAAATGAAAATTAAAATGCAACATCAGATTTCAATATTAAATTTACCATTTACGTATCTTCAAAGGCCTTCAGCTTAAAGACTGCATTCTAAGCATGACTGGGCAAAATAAGAGCTTTCACATAAAATGACTTTCTCATTCATGGTTCAGAGGAATTGAAAATACAGGCATGATGTTAAGCCACACGCAGTAACAGTCCCTCCCAGTTCCTCACTCCCATCAGCCAGAAATAACCATGGCCTGAACTTGAGCTAGGAAGTAAAACAAACTGAAATCCCCACTCTGATGTGAATGTGGTGACCGTGACAAATTCTGGGGTGGAGGTATAAAGTCAAAGGCAAGCATTCATCTTACTGAAACTGAGATCTTGGAGAAACAGCCTTGACTGGGGCAACTCGAAAAGAACCCCAGAGAGCAGAGTGAGCTGCAGATTTTATGTTTCCTCGACAGCTAGTGAAGCAATTGTCTTGTGGCCCAGCTGAACTGAGGGAAGCAATTCACACACTGAGTGAAAAGTGGGAGTCAGGGTTATCAGAACAGAATTTTAATGCTAGTGAGCAGAAACACAGTGAGAATTCTGCAGACTAAGTTTTACTCCCTGTGTTGAATACTTTAAAACATTGCTGCTAAAAGCCAAAAAAATAATTCTGCTGGCAATCCACATACTTTCTTGAGAGGGGAAAATCACCACTATCATGGTTATAGAATGGTTTTTAAGTGATTCATACAGCAAGTAACCAAGAAGCAAACTCAATCCACTATGTTGTAACTCATCAACTAATATTTCTTGTTTCAGCAGTGCAGAAAAATGGCTACATGCATATAAAAGCTGTTAAAGTTGTTTCTTACCTTCTGAGGCTGTCCTTCTTCTCTTCCCTTGTCAAGCAGCTATCCAGATGTTTGTTTATGTATTGCTCTGGAATAGCAACTTCACAAACAGGACAACCCACTGAAAGCAAGGGAGAAGGAATTTAGTATCACATATATCACAGCAAAGAGCAAATGCTTTCATCTGAAAAACTAATTGTGGAGGGATGAAGAGTGTGTTTGTGCTAATGTTTTTCCCTTTTGCAGTATTTTACTCCTACATCAAGGAAGCTGCTTCATTTTGATAACACAGAACAGCACAAACTTTATTCACATTAACATGACACTCCCAATCTCTGGCTCTCAGCAGGACTGCCAGAACAGGGGCTAAGACAGCCTCACAGGAATCCTACCACCCAGCCACGCCTCATACTCACTCCTTAGCACAGAGAACCTGACTCTGTGAGGCTCACCAACACCCCGGAGTTCCCCTTGCACCATATTTTCAAGCAGCACCTATAAACACTATCTGTAAAGACAGTCAAAACCCAGAAACTTAATGTGACTGCTAGAGACAAACATTTTATGTCAAAAGCAAAAGGCTAATTTAAATGAATTGTATGAGAGAGATATTGTTCAACTGGCATCCTCTGTATTAGGATGAAGGAAGTCGGGTGTGATTTAAAAGGCAAAACAAAAAACAACCTATGAAAAATGCTGTGAAATGTGGGAATTGAGAGAGTTATCTGGTAACACTGCTTTGCAGTTCCTGACTCCCATGACATCATATTCCAGTCAAAGGTTAACAACAACAACAAAAAAAGGTTGGAACAGTAACCTAACACAACAGTTTTGAGCAGTCTATTACAGCATTTGAAGTTAACTTTTCAATTCTTAACAGAGGAACAAATAATACTTATCAAAACCACTTCAGCATTGCCTCGATTCAAGTCCTCCTTTCATACTGTTTGACCAACTACTTTGCATTTGTGGAAATAATTCCCATGTAAGGCACGCTCGAGGAATTAATAAGGTCATAAAATGGTAAGCAAGTGGAAGTTTCAATTGCTCGAGAATAAATGAGCAGTAAAATTTCATATGAGTTTTAAATGACTAAGGCAAGTGAGGCTGCTGCATGCAGCTAGGAGACATAACTTCTGGCTAAGCTGATGCCATTTTCACAGGGCTACTTTTCTGGCTCCATTGCATCTTTATTTACCCAGCTAATGAATTAATATGAACTTCAGAGTTGCAGTTAAATAAACTGCCAAACAAAAGAACAGATAAATATGAACTAATAAGAACCAGTGCTGTAACTCCTGCAGGGTCTTTCGTTACAGGCTTTTAATTGGGTCCATGGGATGGTTGTCATTGTGGCAAAACTAAGAGGCTCCTGTCACTTTGCTGTAGTTGGTTAGTACAAATGGGCATTTTCATGCTTCAAAAGAAACTAATCTTAACACTCTAGAACTACAGAAGACTAAAGCAGATTACTTTGTTCTAGAGAGTGTATGAGTAGGAATATTAATAAAACTGAAGCACTGACCATTTTGACTGTGGGTGCACCCCCCAACTAACACACACATTACAAACCACCTTGTTCTGGTTACTTAGGGGGACAAGAGGAAAATGAACCTTGAGATTGTCTGTCTAGCCATTCAAGGGGAAGGAGAAGAGAAAATTACTTCATTATTTACTGAGTAACTCTGTTGCAAAACTGTTGTTTTTCACAGTTGTTACTCAAAGCAAAGGAATCTGCAAGCAGGGAGCTCCACACAGTTGGTTGGCAGCAGCCCAGGCTCCCTCTCAGCAGAGCAGCAGCCTGGCCCAGCTGCACAGGAGGCACCAGTGCAGGGCAGAGCTCCACATGGAAACGAGAGGGGTGCCCCCCACCACAGCCATCAGCTGGAGGAAGACAACAGGACAAAACCAAAAATTAAGCATCTCACCTTTCTTAACTACTTTCAGCACAGATGTAGAAGGCTTTTCAAGACTTTGGGTGCACTCAGGACTCTCTTGTGATCCCACTCCATTGTCTTTACCATCAGCCTCTGCAGAACTGCTGGAACGGTTCTGGTGTTGCTCAGTTTGGCAAGTCTTCTGATCTGCTCCTGCCAGACCGTCTGCCTCTGTCAAGGTGCAATCTTTTTCCTTTTTCAGGAACCTGTCAATCACTGGCACTCCTGGAGCTGGCTGAGGACCAGGACTCTTACTGCAGCTCTTGCCAGCTGACCGCCTGCTGCAGGCCAGCGGAGTGTCCAAGACCAGCTGGAACAGCTGTTGTCTGGAAGCATCCAGAAGACAACATGCAGTTAGCCATGTTGGACAGTATCAGCTCTTTCTTGAGAAGAAACCAGAATGAAAACAGATGTGGCTTTTGCTCCATCCCTCCATCCCTGTCCCCTCTCTTGCACGCAGCCCCTGGGCCTTGGCCAGCCCACAGGGCAGGACACGCAGCTCAGCCTCCCCACGCTCTGCCAAACCCTCCAGTGATCCTCCCCAATTTCAGACAAAATTACACTTAGCAAATTCAGTAAAACGCCTCTCAAATCATCACAGGGAACACAGTAACAAACAAGAAGTCTTCCCCCTTGCTTGAAGGTGGTAGGTGACCATTTTCAAACCAGAGTACTCCAAACACCGCCATGCAGCTGTGCCAGAGGCTCCTGAAACCACAGAGCTCAGCCAAAAGTGTGGCTGTATTTCCTCTGCCCTCCCTTGCTGTGGCTCCCCACAGCAGCTGCTCGCTGCCCACCCCCTAGGCAGAACCCCATCAGGACACCCCCACATCCTGCTCAGCCCGGGGGATTCCCTGCCAGGGAGCCCAAACTATTTTGGTCACTTTTCATCGATGATCACTCCAAGAGCATAAACCCTCTACTCTTTTCTCATATAAAGTAAGGGGAGAACATAACCACCCTCAAGAAAAGCCCATTTCAGTCTCCACCAGAACACTCAGCCCCCACCTACACATGCTTTACCCCCCTTGAACTCCCCACCCTCCTGAGGGCTAGCAGATGTCCCGACCAATTTAAACAGAGGTCTCTTTTCAAAGAGATGAACTTGTATTTTATTGGTAGGAACACAGCAGCAGCAGAAGGCTCCTTCTCCTATCTGTCTCATAGTACTTTCAGCTTTGGGGTAATACACAGAATTACAAAGTCACAGTTGTCCTACTCAGGCAGCTGCATGAGACCTTACAGACACTGTTTATTCCTACTCCTGCCCTAGGGTGTTTTGCAGAATCCTGCTTTACCATGTATTTCATACAGCTCAGTCTAAGACAAATTAAGCCACAGACTGTACCCTTGGCAGGATGCAGGGAGACAACATCTTGTGGTTCACTTTCACTCCTGTGTCATCACAGGCAGAGGCAATGGACAAACCACACATCCCACTCCTACCCACTAGTGCTTCAGCAAGAGTCCTGAGGGTCACAAAGTTCACATCCTCCAGCCAGCAGAAGTACACGTGCAGTCACTAACCTGTGCACCTTTAACCCCTGCCCCACCACCCCGTGGCAGCCCCCTCACCATTCCCTGGTGGAGCTCTCCAGGAGTGTGAAGCCTGCACAGCTGCCAGGGGCTCTTCAGCTTTCTCCCTGACTCTCTGCCATCCTCTCATCCACCGCCTGCCAAGCCCCAGCCTGCTGCATTGTCAGAGGTTCTACCCCAAAAAAACAGTAATTACAAAAAAAATGTTACCATCTACAATCTCTGACAAGCTGGGACAGCTTTCCTTTAAGACTTCCATCTTTTTGTATGGCAGCATCTCTCTAAGAAGGAATGGAGGAGATGGGTTCACCTCTAGGAGATACTCTGTCCCCACTTGCTAAGAGGTGTAGGGAGGACCTTCCCTCCACTTCTCCTTACAGCAGGGTGATGCAGAAGGGAGGGACAGGAGTAGGGACAGCTTTTGAGGACACCAAGGAGCACAAGAGCCTCTCCTGGGAAAGGCACACTGTCCCCTACGTGCTGCTGTGCCTCAGCTCTCCAGCCTGTGCTGCAGGCCCAGAGCTCAGCACTCAGGGCACAGGGCAGTAAGGATGGTGTTGACTTCTTCCAGGAGAAAAGCCCTGAGCACTGCTAATTACAACTGCACAAGATGCTTGGTATCCCTCAGACAGGACTGCATGGCCCCAAAAGACCACAAACAAGCCCATAGCACCACAGAGTCCTGCTCCTTCCCATCTGTAACACATTAACTTCTTCCTCAAGCACTGGGATTTTTACTACTGCCATTGCTCAGCAAGTGCATGCTCTTTATTTAAATGCCAGGGCTTTACAGCTTCCATGGTGACACAACTCACTGCACCTGAGATGACAAAGCCTGTGAAAGTAGAACAGCTGAGGGTTCTCACCTTCCAAGGGCTCTAACTGGGGAAGGCTGAATAGCAGTTGAAATAATTTGAATCACTATTCCTTCTCTGTTAAAAAAACAAAAGAGGAGGGCACTGTGGGTGATGCACCTACAGAATGTGCACTGCCAGGAAATCATCTCTTACAGCACCTTCATAGACACAAGGCCCATAAGAGTCTGAAATGCAGCTACTCTCAGATTTTACAGCTGAAGGCATTTCAGTATTGGGTAACTACTTGGAAAACTTGTCAGTCTTTTATGGTAAAGATTTTTTCATCTCTAAATACTTACTGTCTGCACATATATCCTTTAAAAACGAGCTGGTGCAAGCCACACAAGTCAGGTGAGTTTGTGGCGAGCGACCAGCCCCGCAGGTGGGTGTCTGGGAGCAGGGGTCAGAACCCACCTTCCCTGGATCTCTGGAATTATGGACCACATGTCAGTGGCAGCCCACGTCTGCCCCAAGACTCTCTGCCTTCCTGCAGTGCAAACAAGTGCAATTAAGTGTGGCACCAAAGCTCTGTCCTCCTGCCTGCTGATGCCCAGATAGGGACGCACTGCCCTGCAGGAGGGCAGCTCTGCAGGAGGGCAGCTCCCGGGCTGATACACGGAGCAGCCTGGCTGCTGCTGGCCAGGGATCAGCCTGGTGGGGGAGCACGGCCAGGCCCTCACCAGCCCTGCCCCACCCCCTTCACACGGGGGATTCCAGCCAGGACCATCAGAAGGGTCTGATAAGCCACAGGAGCAGCAATATCGGGCACAGCAGCTCCTCTTACTGCAGACAGATGCATGGTGTTCCTCAGCTCGAAGGTGAGGGCTACAGCCCCAGCAGCCCTGGCACACACAGGGGGTCACAGCCTGCACTGCCTTCAAAAGCAAACACAGTCACTGCATTTTATTCCTAATCACTTGGGCAAACTTTACTCCTCAGAAGGATGCAGCTGAGTGTTCTAACAAAGATGCATTTTTTTTTTTTAACGTGTTTTTCCCTTGATGAACAAGAAATTTATCTTTTGGTTATGTTAAAACCCTCCATGTCCTCAGGCTCCCCAGGTTTCCACACAGGCAGCCTGCCACTGAAGCACCTAAGCAAAGGCAACACGTAGCCTTACTGAATTCTTCTTTTGGCTCTTAAACAACGTTTTTTACACAACAGCCCAGCATCCTGTGCTGCAGCCAGCTAAACTGACTCAGACAGCATAAAACAGATTCATAAATGCAATCATTTGGCATCACAGCAGTTGAGTTTTCCCATAAAATAAAGAACAATACAGCCCCAAAAGGCAAAAATGTCTGAACAGCAGCCAGCTGCCTATACTCCTTGCCTTCAGCTAGAGAACACAACTGAGCTCCCTCATTTTTCAGTATATCTTCTGTTGCTTTTGAGGGCTCCTCCTTCTGTGCAAGGAACACATCCCACTGTTTGTAACCACCAGTTACATCTGTTTATTTTTCCACAACATGGATTCATGAGCTAAACTGTATCTCCCAGCGGGTTCACACCAGCTGACAACACTCCTAAAATTCAAACTTCACATCAGTTCATCTTTTTGCCAGGTTTCAGACTGATGGATGTATCTTTCTCTCAACATTTCTTCCTCGGAAGTATCACAACAGTACAGCTTGTAGTACCTGAAATTCTCCAAAACAGAGGCTTTAGAGGTCTGGCTGTCCCTCAGGAAAGCTCCCAGGCCAAAGCACAAGTTTAGAGGTGGGCCTGGACTCAGAGAAACTACAACCCAAGCACGGGACAGCTGAGCAATCCCCACAGACACTGGAGGGAGGAAAGCAGCTCTGTGGCCAGCAGGAGCAGGCAGCAGACATCCAGCAGAAGGCTCAGAATGCAAAGCTCAGCACTTCTGCAACGTGTCCTGAGGAAAGCACAGAATTCTGAACTGGGGAGAGCTGCCAGGCCAGGCTGCCCAAATAGGAGAGCATCTCACGTGCAAGATGTGAACATCTGCATGAAGGCAGCCAGAGCAGAGAAATCTGAACAGAAATTTCAGATTCTGCAATAACAGTTGTCTCAGTAAAGTATGATCTGGTATAAAACAGAGAGAGAAACTGGAAAAGTAATGCAAAACCCAAAAGCTATCCTAACAATAATTTTATATTAAAGGTTGCTTTAACTACACCATTCATCCACAAATAATGATACAGTGTTTTTCCTAGTATTGAAAGATAAATACTTACAAATAAACTTTCCATGGGGTTTTATCTTGGCACATAATCGATGGAAAGAACACAAGGGATGAGAATATGAAAACTTGTTTGCCAAAACACACATGAAATCTCTGTATGCCCTCCTTTTTTTTTGGTGGGAAAATACAGAAACTGCTAGTACTAAATTCAAAAGAGGAGAGAAGGTCCCAGACCTGCTTTTCCCAGAAGGTGGTATTATTTTGGGCCCGCCGAGCAGCTTGACTGGCTACGTGATGACATCTAGTGGCCCTGCCACCAGAGCCCCAAGCCCAGGCCCCCAGAGAGAGGGGAGCTGGAGCTCCTCACACAGCCCTGGGCACTCCAGCAGCACCTGATCAGCTGCTGCTGCCCTCCTGCAAAGCCAGAGAGAACTGCTCCAGTTCTGCTTGCTCAGAGACTCTGACAGCTGCCATGGGAGAGACTGGACAGGCACGACTGGCAGACTGACAGCTCTGACAGGCTTGAGCAGATACAATTTTCCCTTCCTGGCACAAAAGCAGTAAGGGTGTCACAGTTTCAGAGCACGAGCAGCACCCTTTAAAGGCTGAAAGTCAATCAAAAAGATTAGTGAGTCCTAACATGCACCATTATAACCACTACCCAAGTCCTCCTCTGTGACCCCTCCTCTTTCATCCCTGGCTGGGGCCAGGACAGGGAGTCACTCCTTTAACTGAAGATGGACAGCTATATGAGCACACTCCCCTTCCAGGTGTGCTTTAATAACTCTATAAATATGATTTTTTTTTTTTTGCTTCAGCTCTGCAAGACCCACCAAAAAATGCCAGTTTCTTCCATCATCATTCCCAGTTTATGGTCCATTTACTTCTCCCTTGCCAAAGCAGCCAGGAAGCAAAGCAAGCAGGTGGAAAACTGGTGCTTCCACAGAACTAAATTCCAGGGAAGAGATGGGGTTGTGAATCTTCCTAGGAATAGCTCACCCAGGACAGTCCTAGCAGTACTAGAGGACAATTGCTCTCCTTGAAATTCCTTCTGCACTCCTCCTGGAAGCTTAATCAGCCTTAGAAACACCAGTACCTGCTCTCTCCAGGGCCCAGAGCTGCCTCACCAGCTGCCAGCTAACCCTGATCAGGAAAATCAGGTACAAACTTCAAAGTAAAAACTCATTTCCCCATGTATGAAGGAAGCACAGATCACTTTCAGCAAGGACGAGCTACTTCTGCATGGAGAACACTTATCTCCACTGCTGCATTTTCTAGAGAGGTGATGCAGAAGCTGACAATTGTTACCAAAATGAACTCTTTACTAGAGAACAATGAAATTCATTTCAAAACAACCCAAAGCTTTACACTTCTCATTTTTGAAGGCACTGCCCCCCTTGTAGCTGACAGAGACACTGTTCACAAAGATGGCACAAAGAGCACTGCCCATCCTGATTTCAAAAATCAACTCCTGGACTTTGTTTTGGAGAGGGTCAAAACAAAACTAGGGGGAGGAGGAGAAGGGAGGCAGAAGATTCCTCCTGTACCAGCATCACTGTTAGGATTTAATGACAGTTACAACACACAGTTTTTGTCTTATTGATCTAACTCTGCGTTGAGAAATTGACTGAACTCCAAGTCACAAAGGGAAATATTATTAAACCACTCTGACTGGTAAGATTTATACTGGTCTATTAAAGCAGTCCAAAAAATGAACGTTTACGATTCAATATCATAATGGATCCACGTCAGCACTACTTGTCCCCTACAGAATTATACCTTACCAAAAAAATAGTAATCCATTCATCACTAGAAAACACCAAGGACAGAGTTCAAGCTAAAATAATGGAACAGAGGATGTCCAATTCTTCAAATAAAATCAATTCAGTCTAATAGTGGTCATGCAGAAGATCAGATCTTCATCACAGAGAAACTCTCTCAAGAAACAAAGCCATAAAGAGAACTGTACTTCCTATTACATATGAGGCCAAGCATCTCATTGACTTCAAGCTCCCAGTTCACTTCAGAGAAAGAGATGATAGTGTATTTGTCTCCCACAGACACAGGAATACCCAAAAAATACCCAGCAAATCACTGAGCTGCTTCTAATAGAAAAAAATTGAGAGAGAACACAAGAAATGTCATGTCTCTCCTGTGGTAAGCTTTTACCAAAGTCATGCTTATTCTGTTGTCCCTGTCTTTCAAAAGAATGAGGAGACTGAAAATGAATGAACAAGTGGAAAAGTAGATAAGAAACCCAGGTGAAAGCAAAATACTCCATGACTTCTCTCATCCAGGAACACTCAGATCTGTGGTCCCCCAATACCTACGTTTTTCCCATCCAGTGACTTCACCAAGAGAATTCTCTTGCAAGTTGACCATTAGTGCTGGAAAAAAATCCTTCTGTGCAGAATTTTCCCTGCACACATAGGAAGGATCTTAGAAGAAAATCTTTATTACCATTATATAGAATCTGGACATGTGCCTGACTTCCTACATGTTGTAGGAGACTGTAACTTACATAGCAGCTAACCAGAAGCAAAACCAAACTGAGGTTACTCACCCTGCACACAGCACCTGGGTGGACAGGAGCCTTGGGCAAGAATTCCCCAGAAGCATAACCCTTTGTCTCTGACACTGCAATGTTTCCCACTCAGTCCTCACACTGCCCCTCCCCTACAAAAGCCTGGTCACACAAGGTCAGCCACACTTGCTTTGCAGCTGCCAGCCCAGGGAGAGCACTCCCACATCAGTGTACCTGGCAGAATTAAAGCTCTTCACTAGCTCATCTAGCGTCCGATTGTTCCTCAGGTCAGACTCTGAGACTGCCTATTAAAAAAAGAAAGAAAGAGAAACAAACAAAACAGCAAACATCCACAGGCACTGAAAACAACAAATACCCAGAAAATGTTCAAGTGATCAATAATTAATTTCTTGGCTCAGTGCCTCAGCTACCCCTGCTACACTGCTGTGTGAATGAAGATGCATAAAGTGCAAAGATTTTTTTTCCTGAAAAATATCTCAGACTAAAATAACTGCCTGAGAACTGTAAGTCTCAGAGGTGACAGGTAATGGATAAAAATGAAGCATGAGGCTAAAGCAACAAAATCCAGTGTGCTCAGTCTTCAACAATGCTTTATGGTAGGCTGGTTCTAATCATTTTAAAAACCAACCCAAGGATCCCATGAATGTGTTAAGATCTTTAAGCAACAAGGCACAAAAACTGATGAAAGTAAATGTTAGAATCTTCTGATTATAAAATGAAAATATTAATTATGAGATGGTTTTGTGCATTCTTCTTAATTTCTGATTTTTATCTCTCTGTTTATCTCTCTCTCAGCTCTTCTTTTTTACAAAGCTTGTAGTAGTCTTGCTCATATCAATACCTGTGATTTAAGAAGGAGATAGTAAAATGTGCTCCATCAGATAGTCTGCACTTGTTTGAAGGTTTAAAAACTGGCAAAGCTACAAATAGATCTGCTTTCCAGTCTTGAAAAGTCTGGTCTGGTCCATGCTTTAGAAACACAGAAGAAAATTACTTCTGTTTTGCCAATATTCCTGAAGCACCATTCATTGTTTTTAGGCAGTCTAACATTTTGAGGAGTTCACTAAAGCCCAGTTGAATTAAGATGAAAATTAAGGCCTAGAATAAATTGTATTCTGTGTTCTTCAATCAAAAACAGCCTTGGAGTCAGCTCCTAATAATGACCCACCCTCAGAGCAAGCTGAGAATGCCACTTGTGGCAGCACCACACTGCCCAGAGAGCTGCTCCCCAAACAGAGAGGTGGCCATGCACGGCCAGAATTCGTTATCCAGAGGGCAGTGAGGTCCTGAGATTCACCAACAAACAAACACAAAGCAAGCAGAGGGAAAGAAAACCACTTACCACACAGCACGTGGGACACTGAGTTTTGTAGGACAGAAACTTGCGTATACAAAGGGAACAATCTGGAGAAAGGAAACAGGCAGTGTTGAAGCAGGCATCCTTCCAAACACAGCAGCCTCACAAATATACCTTCTTTTTATAATATATGCTAAATATTCCACAATACACAGTATTGAAAAGACACCGTTTGCCCAGAGAATTAAAACTACTAAAAAAAAATCCCTATTTCATGTATCTTTCAATGTTCAATCTCTCTGCCAAAAGTATATGTTTACTTTTGTTTCTTTAACACAAGACAAGAAACCCTTAGAAACCTCAGAGAAACTGCTCCTACCACTAGAAGCAGCATGCTCACACTGCTCACTCCCCCACCACCACTTTTTTTTGGCACAATTGATGTTAGATCACTTTCATCCTCCTGCACAGCCCCAGACAAAATTTCTATCCCAAATTTTTCTCAGGTGTTCCTTCCCCTTCCCAAAACAATGCCAACCTGTTGTGGAGGGATAAGGCTGAAAGGGCTGGGAGGCAGCACTGGAACTGAGAGCAAGCTTTAATGCCTCCCAGGACAGGCAAGTCGTGCCATCACCACAGGAGGATGATGATGATGAAACTCTCAAAGGCTCTTTGGTGAAACATGCCATAAGCTTCATTTTGTGGCAGGAAATCCCTGAAATTATCCTGCCTTCTCTAATTACCCATGAGCTTCCATAATCACTTCACAGAATCACAGAGTGGAGTGTTAGGGGTTGTAAGGGACCTCCAGAGATCATTGAGTCCAACCCTCCTGCCAGAGCAGGAAAAATATAAAAAATTCAAAATATAAGATGTTCCATCACTCTCCATTAAAACAGATGTTCATTTATTAGATCACTGCTGGCCAGAGCCTCAGCATTTAACACCCTTAGCACCAGCTACCTGAGCAGATGTATTGCAAAGACCCTCTGTGAAGCAGTCAGAAAAGCAACAGGAGCATTAATGCACTAATTTAACACCTAAAACCACAAATCCATCTCAATACTCAAAAATCCCAATATATAGTAAGATGTAATATGGGGGGAGGAAGGCATAAAAAAAAGAAATCCATTTTAACTGAGTGAACAGGAACCCATTCACAGCCTAGGCTGCCACAGCAGGTCCCTGGCCCAGGGCACTGAAGCTTCTCTGAGGAAAACAAACCACAAGCTCCCAGCAGGAGTGTTAAAGGCTGACTCTGGGCCCTGGGCAGAGAAAACAATGGCCCCACAATTCTCTATCCAAATCCCTTCTCTCCTACTCTTCCCACAGGAGAAACAGCCCCTGGCAGCCCAGGTCTCAGCCTGACATTCCTGGGGTGACAAACAGGTCACAGACCCCCAGAATTAAATGGTGCCACAGGATCCACCTCCACCTACCTACCAAACCCCCCTGTGACACCACACCTACCAAACTAGTCACCAGACTCAGCTGCAGCACTGGTAACCCAGAATACAGAAGAGAATCCCAAGGGGTGAAATTAATCTGAGAGCCACCACTGGATGCTCAATGGCAGTGACAGAAGGAAGGGACACAAGTCACTGTCCAACTCCCTCGAGTTTGAACTGGAAGCAGCAAGGTTGTGAGAAGAAAGGTACAGAACAAGCTTGGCAGGAGGAAAGTCAGCAATGCCAGAATTTACCTCCCACACATCAATACACCAAATTTACACCCCACACATCCCCACACAGGATCTTTTTTAAGCAAGTAAGCGATTCTGAAACCAGCTTAGCTGGAAGCACAGCAGTAATCACAACACAGACTTAAAGAAAGGAAAACCCTGAAGGACAAAAAATAGCTGCCTACGCCTGACATTCCCGGGGTGACAAACAGCTCACAGACCCCCAGAATTAAATGGTGCCACAGGATCCACCTCCACCAACCTACCAAACCCCCCCGTGACACCACACCTACCAAACTAGTCACCAGACTCAGCTGCAGCACTGGTAACCCAGAATACAGAAGAGAATCCCAAGGGGTGAAATTAATCTGAGAGCCACCACTGGATGCTCAATGGCAGTGACAGAAGGAAGGGACACAAGTCACTGTCCAACTCCCTCGAGTTTGAACTGGAAGCAGCAAGGTTGTGAGAAGAAAGGTACAAAACAAGCTTGGCAGGAGGAAAGTCAGCAATGCCAGAATTTACCTCCCACACATCACTACACCAAATTTACACCCCACACATCCCCACACAGGATCTTTTTTAAGCAAGTAAGCGATTCTGAAACCAGCTTAGCTGGAAGCACAGCAGTAATCACAACACAGACTTAAAGGAAAGCCCTGAAGGACAAAAAATAGCTGCCTACAACAGCTCCAGCCAACTCCACACAAATTAGTCCACCAGATCCAGACTCCCCTGCCCATCTTCCAAGTGACAGCAGCTCCAGAGCAGGGCTGTGTGCCTCTATGGCAAGGTGTATGACATGACATACAGAGCCAGGGCTGTGTGCCTCTATGGCAAGGTGCATCTACATGACATAAAAGCACCTAAATCGAGTCAAAGCCAGTCCCACAAAGTCACAGGAGAGAGGAGAACGACCTCACTGCCCCTCTATCAACCTGCCACAAGTGCTCTGCTTACCTTGGCTCCTACTCCAGCAATTTTTATGAAAACTGCTGTTTCTGTGTAATTTTCATTTAAACTCAAGTAAGTTTAAACTGCAACCACCAAGTCAATATCAATCTGTCAACAGACCCTCCATAAAACACGTCAAGCACAGGGCAGGAGGTGGAGATTTACAATGAAAAGGAAATAAGTGTTGTGTTTGCTTCCACAGAGTGGGTGCCCATGAAGCTGGTACAGCAGACAGCAGGATGGGCTGACCTGTCACTCAGATGGCACCTTACGAGTCCCACACGAGTAAGAAACCCACACACAGCACATTCAGTACTCACAGTTGTGTGAACACTGTGGAATGATCATTGCAATGCTGAAGTAATCAAAGCATATCCCACAGCGCAACAAGTCGTCCACTGCCTGCAACAGAGACCGAGGTCACCAACAGCTCCCGGTGGGACACCCCCGGTTCCTTTAGCCCCCCATAACACCAGCCCCCTGCTCGGAAGTGCTCTCTTCATAAAACACAGCGTGCAGGCTTGGGCTTCCAAATACACTTCTCGTTTTGATGTTTCGTTGTGAAAAACACTCACCCTTGCCAAAGGATATCCTCTTATTATCAGAAA